GAGCTGGAACAAACAATCCTAAAATTTGTATGGAACCAGAAAAGACCCCAAATAGCCAAAGGAATGTTGAAGAAGAAAACAGTGATGCCGGTGGCATCACAATTCTGGACTTCAAACTCTGTTACGAAGCTGTAATCACGAAGACAGTATGGTACTGGCACAAAAACAGACACATAGATCACTGGAACAGAATAGAGAGCCCCAAAATGCACCTTCAACTCTATGGTCAACTAATCTTTGACAAAGCAGGAAAGAATGTCCAATGCAAAAAAGATAGTCTCTTCAACAAATGGTGTTGGGAAATTGGAAAGCCACATGCAGAAGAATGAAACACGACCATTTTCTTACACACACACACAAATAAACCCATAAATGTGAGACAGGAACCCATTAAAATCCTAGAGGAGAACATGGGCAGCAACCTCTTTGACCTCGGCCACAGCAGCTTCCTGCTAGACACGTCTCTAAAGACAAGGGAAACAATGCCAAAAATGAACTATTGGGACTTCATCAAGATAAAAAGCTTTTTCGCAGCAAAGGAAATAGTTGACAAAACCAAAAGGTAACCAGCAGAATGGGAGAAGATATTTGCAAATGCCTTATGAGATAAAGGGCTATTATCAAACATCTATAAAGAACTTATTGAACTCTACACGGAAGACCAAATAATCCAGTCAACAAATGGGGAGGAGTCAAGAACAGACCTTTCTCCAAGGAAGCCACCCAAATGGCCAACAGACCCATGAAAAAATGCTCACCATCGCTCAGCATCAGGGAAATACAAACCACAATGAGATCCCACCTCACACCAGTCAGAATGGCTAAAATTAACAAGTCAGGAAACAACAGATGTTGGTGAGGATGCAAAGAAAGGGGAAGTCTCTTATGCAAGCTGGTGCAGCCACTCTGGAAAACATATGGAGGTTCTGCAGAAAGTTAAGAATAAGGCTACCTGAGGACCCAGCTATTGCACGACTGGGTATTTACCCCAAAGATACACATGGAATGATCTGAAGGGGCCCCGCACCCCAATGTTTATGGCAGCAATGTCCACAACAGCCGAACTATGGAAAGAGCCCAGATGTCCATCCACAGATGAATGGATAAAGAAGATATTGTATATATATACAATGGAATATTACTTAACCATCCAAAAAAAGAAATCTTTCCATTTACAATGACATGGATGGAATTAGAGGGTATTGTGCTAAGCAAAATAAGTCAATCAGAGAAANTGGAATTAGAGGGTATTGTGCTAAGCAAAATAAGTCAATCAGAGAAAGGCAATTATACGATTTCACAACAGAGGAGCATAGGGGTGCCTGGGTGGCTCAGTTGTTAAGCGTCTGCCTTCAGCTCAGGTCACAATCCCAGGGTCCTGGGATCAAACCCCCCATCAGGCTCCCTGCTCAGTGGGGAGTCTGCTTCTCCCTCTCCCACTCCCCTCTGCTTGTGTTCCCTCTCTCACTCTCTCTCTGTCAAGTAAGTAAATAAAATCTTCAGAAATAAATAAAACACTATCTTAAAAAAAAAAAAAAGAGGAGCAGAGGGAAAGGGAAGGAAAAATAAAACAAGATGAAACCAGAGAAGAAGACAAACCGTAAGAGATTCTTAATCATAGGAAACAAACTGAGAGAGTTGCTGGAGGGGAAAAGGGTGGGGGAACAGGGAAATTGGGGGATGGGCATTAATGAGGGCACGTGTTGGAATGAGCACTGGGTGTTACATGCGACTGATGAATCACTGACCTCTATCTCTGAAACTAATACTACACTATACGGTAATTGATTGGATTTAAATAAAATTAAATTTAATTTTTAAGAAAAGATCAGTTGACCATGTCAGCGTGCATCTCCTTCCGGACTCTCCTGCTCCACTGGCTTTTGCCAGAACCACACTGTTGTGGCTTTGTTTGTTCTTTTTTTCTTTTCTTTCTTTCTTTTTTTTTTTAAGATTTTATTTATTTATTTGACAGAGAGACACCACAAGAGGGGAACACAAGCAGGGAGGTGGGAGAGGGAGAAGCAGGCTTCCTGCTGAGCAGGGAGCCTAATGAGGGATTCGATACCAGGACTCTGGGATTGTGACCTGAGCCAAAGGCAGACACCTGCCCAGGAGCCCCATGTGTCCCACAACTTTCTGAATTCACTCATTAGTTCTAACAGTGTTTGGTGGAGTCTCTAAGGTTTCCTATTTATAGTACCATGTCTTCGGCAAATAGGAACAGTTTGACTCCCCTGCCGATGCAGAGGTCTTTTCTTTTTCCTACCTGAATGCTGCAGCTGGGACTTCCAGTGCTGAGCAGGGACTTCCTTGTCTCGTGCCTGGTCTTAGGGGAAATGGTTTCTTCACCGTCGAGTAGGAGGTCAGCTGTGGGTTTTCGTACATGGCCTTCACTCTTTTGATGTACATTTCATCAAAACCCACTATGTTTTTTATGTTGTATTTTGTCAAATGCTTTTTCTGTAAGTATTGAGATGACCTTATGGTTTTTGTCCTTTGTTAATGTGATGGATCACATTGGTTGATTTGCCAGAGGGGATGTAGGTGGGCAAAATGATGAAGCATATTATAAGCTATAAACTTCCAGTTATAAAATAAACAAGTCACGGAAATTTTAAAAGTACAGCATAGGGAAGAAGTTGTTGTAATAACTTGTACGAAGACAGACGGTGAGGACACTTCTCCTGAGGAGCGCTGTGGAATGTACAGAATTGCTGAATCACTAAGTTGGACTCCTGAAACTAGTGTAACATTGTGTGTTGACTCTACTTCAGTAAATATTCAAGAATAGAGGTTTTGGATAGAAATCACGATGGATTGTGAAAGACAGTGATACAGCCGTTCCAAAAATAAAGGCACCTCTGCAAAGATGACAAAGATTTCTCAAATGTTCTTCAATGTTAATTTTTTAAAGATTGATTTATTTATGAGAGAGAGAGAGAGAGACGGCACACTCGTAGGCGTGAGCAGGGGGGAGAGGCAGCCGGACTCCTCGCCGAGCCCAAGCCCATCACAGGACTTGTTCCCATGACCCCGAGATCGTGACCTGAGCCAAAATCAAGAGTTGGAACTTCACCCGACTAAGCACCCCAGGCGCCCCTCAAATGTTCTCGGGTACAAAACGCACCCTGGCAACCCTTGGGGTGGTAGAACACAGGTGACCCTGTCATCGAAGCAGGGGGGTGCCCTGAGGGCCCGAGCATGGGAGCTCAGGATGGTGGGAGGACACCAAGCCCCCCTTCCCACCGTGCGTGGTGCCAAGACCCTCCCGGGGAGCAAGACCTTCAGGGTGAAGGGCTCAGTGTACACAGAACCCCGCTGGCCCGCACGGATGACACGGGGGACCCGCTGTCGGCTGAACGGTGCGCACCAGGGTTCCGCTGCTGCCTGGCGCGCACTCTGCTCTGTGTCCACAGGCAGCTGGAGACGCTCTCGCTCTCTGTTCCCTGCTCTGCCACACGTTCACTAACGCGCTCCCCCCACAAACCCCGTGGAGACAGCAGGCGCGGCTCCCACAGCGACAGGTCACAGGTGAGTGTGAGCTGCTCCCTTCGGAGCCTGCGGGCTCTAGGGCTGTGGGCAAGAGCCCCCGACCACCAAGCGCTGACCGTGAGCCGGCGCAGGCAGCCTTTCCACAGCCCCGTGGAGGACGGGCTGCCCCCGCTGCCGCCCAGGTCCCAGCCTACTGGGCAGGGAGCCCGCACGCCCCTCCCCTCCAGGGAGCACCAAGTCCCTCCTGCTCTCCCCTCCGCCCCTCCTCGGGCAATTCCCAAACCGCAGGCTCCTGGCTGGCGAGCCCATTCAGATTCTTGCTGGCATGTGTTTATGTGGGGGACATCCCGCTCACCGGCTTTTCCCTGTTGTCGCGTGAGCTTGTCACATCTCAGAGTCACTTTTGATCCCCCCAAGCCCACAGGGACACTCACTGGCCGGCCATTCCATCCAGCCCCGCGCTGCCGGCCCCGGGCTTGGGGACACCACCCCAAGCATCATGTCAGCAATTCCCAGAGACACCCGGACCCCCGTGTGCTCCTGGGTACGGGGTGAAGGGTCTGTGCTCTCAGTGTAACCGCGTGCTGGAGACAGTGGCTGGGAAGGGAGTCTGGAGGTGGGAGTGCCCCGGGGAGGCAGTGCCTGCAGGGATCCGACGGCTGGGCACGGCCCTTGGAGCCCCAGGGTTCTCTCCACTCTGGGCTCAGACAGACTGGGGATCTGCCCGCTGGGAGCACTCGCCTTGGTTCCCTGGAGGTTCTCATGCAGGGTCCCCTCGGGATGATTTTGGTTGGCAGCACCATGAACCAGGACCTGGAGACCCTGATGGCCTCGGAACGGGCCCATATCCTAGCCAGTTACACCCAGGTGAGCCACAGAGGGGCCCATCGACTCGACGGGCCCTCATTGCAGGGGTGGGGCCCAGAGCCAAGGATGGGCCCGTTCAGCCCAGACAAGGACCAGAGTCCTCGGGAACAAGTGCGACGCGGGGGAGGGTCCCAGGCATGGGAAGCAGCTGAGGGTCCATCGGGGATCCTAGGGGTCAGTCGTCCATGAGGTCCAGGCAGGGATCATAGGCGGCAGGAGCTCCGGAGGCCCAAGCTGGGATCCCAGACAGCGGGAGCTCGGGGGATCCAGGTGGGGTCCTAGGCGTGTAGGAGCAGGTCTGGCCCAAAGGGAGACTTCAGCAGCGAGAGCACGTATGTGCCAGGCAGGGATCAGAGCCGCAGTCCCGCAGAGGAGACCAAGGGGGTGTGGTTGGCCCTAGGAGTGGGGGAAGCCAGGCGGGGGACATCTCTGGTAGACCCAAGGGTGGCAGTCATCCTGCTCCCAGAGCCGACAGGGCCTGCCTCTTATGCTGGGCCCTTTTCCAAGGGTCCTGGGCTCCCTGAGGGTGCAGGGGCGAGAGGAGCCATTCTGCTCCCTCCTTTCCCCCTGCCCCTGGCTTGGACGGGACCCCCACCACAGACCCTCTCTGTTTCAGGCACGCCCAGCGGGGTCTCCAGGGGACGCCCGGGAAGGTGCTGACCTCTCGCTGTGCAGGCTCACGGACCATCACGGCTTCCTGCAGTGAGTCCCGGGGCCCTCCTCCGTCCGGCTCAGGGGTGGAATGCATTGACAGGAACTTATCTCTCTGGAGGCAGGACCCATGTCCCCAGCTCAGGGCCTCGTCCCCTGGAGCCCTCTGAGGGCCAGATCTGCTCTGGCTGGAGCTGAGCGACCCGGGAGGCAGACCGAGATCATGGCAGGAATGGAGCAGGGCCTTGGGCTGGGCCCCTGGGCACCCCAACGAGGGGCCTCCACGCCTGCTTCAGGGAGGCCCGGGGCCTGCCTCCTGCATTCTGTCTGTGCGTCCAGTCAGTTCAGCTGGGACTGCAGAGGGTGAGGGGCTCTGGACAGTGGTGTCCTTTCCGTGGGAGGGTGGTCTGGTCTGGGGCCAGGGCCGAGGAGTACCCTTGGTGACACCCCCAGGCCAGGCCCGCCACAGCTCCCGAAGGCTTCTGGGGGATGGCAGGACGACGCCAGGAACAAGGCCAGGTCAGGGAGGGGTGATGGGCAGCAGAGGGAGGGACTGACCGACCTGGGTGGGAGGAGGGAAGAGGGACAGGAGGCTGTCCTAGAGGGGGAAACCAGGGAAGGGGACCGCGCAGTGGCCTTGCTACGAGGGAAGGAGACTGTTAGGCCGAGGGGCCCCGCGAGACCTCACCGTGGCCAGAGACTCCGTGTGTGGTCACAGCACTGCTCCCATGTCCCCAGTCCGTGCTCGCCGCCCAGTGACCAGTGGCCGTGGAGAGGGGTGGGAGGGTGGGGTCGTGCTCGTGGCTCTGACAAGACAAGGGGCCAGAGCGGCAGATGTGACCAGCAAGAGGAGTGGAGTCAGGGCACAGCAGGGTGATGGACACAGTGAGGGAGAGGCAGGCTAGACACTGGGCAGGCAGGCCCCGTGAGCCCACGGTGTCCTCAGACTAATGGTCACAGGGGCCACCCAGGTGGCAGTGACAAGTCTAGGAGTGGCCCATCCCGCTTTAGGAGCAGGTCCCTCCAGGGGGACCGCTGAGGGACCCCAGCCCAGCCCACCTGGCAGCAACCACCTCCTCACGGCCCAGGCGGGATGCAGCTGCCCCCGCCTGAGCCACAGGCAGCTGGCAGCCCCGGCCCTCCCCGGGGTCAGGCCTCCTCTCCCGGGTCTTGGGGGCTGTGGGGCCGGGGGCCTGGTCCTCAGGGCTCTGCTTCTCTTGCCTTCCAGCGAGAAGGAGCTGCCCGGCCTCAGCCCCCACGAGGCCAAGGTACGAGCCTGTCCTGGGGCATGGGCAGGACACAGTGCATGGGGCGTGGGGCCAGGGGACGGCAGACCCAGTCCCCAAAGCTGTCCCCAGGACTAGGTCACCAAAGCGCCTGTCCCAGGAATCCGCACGTGGCCAGGAAGGCGCCTGACCCCCAGAGACGTGGTCAGCGGGAGCGGCCCTGTGCCTCTCAGGCCCCTCTCAGTCTGTTCCCACCATGGCCCCGCCCCACAGGACGCCTGGACGCTGCCCATGGGCTGGTCTCCCGCTCTGCGCGGCTTATTCCACTGCCCCCCTTCTCCTGTTCCAGCAACATCGCCAGGAGACCCGCAGGGCCGAAAAGTGAGCAAAGATGCTTCGCAACTGGGACCACTGCGGGCCCAGCGAGAAGGTGGGTGCCGCACGCCCGCAGACGGCATCTGTCCCATGGGGGTGGGGGTAAATCCCCCTGCTTCCCCCGGACCCCAACCCCACGGGAGTGCCCCTGTCTGGGGAGAGTCTGCTGGCAGAGCCCCAGCCTCCCCACTTCCAAGCGGGCAGCAGAGGAAGCGACGGGTCAGGGCCCAGTGCCCTCCTCCTCGTGGGAGACAGGGCTCAGCTCCGAGGAGACCCAGCCTCTCGGGGGATGCCACGGAGCCAAAGCCAAAAGCTTCTAGATGCCTCTTGCTCCCAGGCCTGGCAGGGCGGCCCTGGTTCTGGGTCCCAGCACTGCCTTCTCTCCTACAGATGCGTTGGCACTTCTATAAAGGGGTCCATCCCCAGGTGAGGGGTCAGGTGTGGGCCCTCCTGCTCGATATTGAGAAGGTGAAGTCCACCGAACAGGGGCTCTACAAGGTAAGCCCTTGCGCCCTCAGCAGAGGAGTGGCCCTTGGAGGAGGCCTTGGCAGGAGCCGAGGGCACCCCGTGGGGAGAGGCGAGCTCAGGGCCCTGGCTGGAGCTCCGTCCTGGAGGACAGGGCTCCGTGCGGGGGAGGGGAAGACCCGCGGGCTGACCTTCGGGAGTGTCCTCGGCCCCCAGGCCTGCCGAGCACGATCCCTGACGCGGGCATCCCGGGCACGACGGGCTCCTGTGGGGGGCCCTGCCTCAGAGACCAGGGAAGGAAGGAGGTGTCCGCAGGACACGGCCCAGGGCGGCTCGGGATTCTCCCTGCCTCAGGGGCAGTTGGTGGCCGTTGGGGCTCCGTGTGCTGATGCCGGCTCCTCCTCCCCAGTTCTGCCCCCAGAAAATGAAGGAGCGGGCCCAGGTCTTCTCCAAGAACATCCGGCAAATAGACCTGGACGTGAACCGCACCTTCCGGAACCACATCATGTTCCGGGACTGCTATGGCATCAGGTGAGGCTGGGGGACAAGCGGGGCTCTGGGGCCACAGGAGTTCCTCGGGGGTTCAGGCGCGACCCAGGGGGCTTCTGGGTGGGGGACGCGGGGTCTCTGAGGAGAGGGGGAGGAATAGCAGCAAACATGGTCTCGGCCACATGGTGAACGTGGGTGGGAGGACCCAGGGGTCCCTACCTAACCCCCGGGGCTGCCGCGATGGGGAGGGCACCGCGCCAGGGCCTGGCTGGGCAGCCATGTGAGCGGAACCCAAAGGTTGGCATGGAGCTGTACGAGGGCAGACGGGCCAGAGGGTGGGGTCGTGGCAGGGGGCACTACGGGGAGCTGGGGGCCAGGCAGCACAGACTCGGCCGGGCGAAGACACACGTGGACGAACTAGGGACACACGGTCAAGGGGACAGCCCGCTGGGTGTGTTTCTGCGTGGACTGGCATTGTATTTTCCACAGTGGACACAGTGTGTAAAGATAGCCAGGACCATGAACCCCCAAATGCCACCCGGCCCCACCCCCGGTCCCGTGCTCACCACCCGCATCCCCCGCCGCACGTGTCCCACCCCGAGCCTCGCTGAAGACCGCGGGTCCCCTGGGGCTGCACTCTGCTCCTCGGGGGGCACCCATGTGGCTTGGTCAGACAAGAGCCACCCACCCTGCTCTCCCCGTCCCCAGGCAGCGAGCCCTGTTCCATGTGCTCCGGGCGTATTCAGTCTACGACCCCGTGAGTGTCCCTGCCGCCAGCCCTCCTGCCCCGCGGGTGCCCTTTGTCTCCAGGATGCCTGAGCGGGTGGGACTCCTAGTTGGGACTCCAGTTCCCATGGCCCCAGAGACGCAAGGGAGGGGCCCTGGACCCTAGGACTGAGGCCGGGCTGGGGTGCAGATCTCAGTGCGGGGGAGGGACGGCCCCTGAGTCCCTGAGCGCTGGGTGCCGGGGGGCTCTGGCCTGCACCGCTGTGGTGCTAATGCTCGGGGCTGGGTCCTGAAGATCCCGTGGGAGGATCGGGACCCGGGCTGGGAAGGCGGTTCCCCTTGTCCTGACCTCCCCCCAGCGAGGTGGCCCCATTCCATGGGGTCTGGCTCTCGCAGGAGGTGGGCTACTGTCAGGGGATGAGTGACATCGTGGCAATCCTGGTCATGTTCCTGGGTGAGGAGGACGCCTTCTGGGCCCTGGCACAGCTGATGACCTTGGAGACCCATGCCATGCACGGTAGGGGGCCTGCAGGGCGCCTGGGTGTGACCTGGAACTCAGGACTCCTTCCCTGCAGGGCAGCCACCGCAGCGGGGCATGCCAGGACCCCCAGCCAGCCCGCCTCCCCACTGGCAAAGGGCACGGCCTCCTCAGGGCGTCTGTAGCCATGGCCACTGACCCCAGCATTTGCAGACCGTTCTCGCCTTCCCACGGGGCCTTCAGTCCTGTCTGGCAGCCGGCTTGCCCGCCGGGTCCCCCTGGGACCCCCGGCCAGACGAAGCCCGGGCGGTGCTATGTCCTGCTCCCTGGACCCTCAGCCCAGCACCCAAGCCCAGGCGTTGGGCCTGCTCACCCCCTTCACTCTCCCCGTGGGAGGCTCGTCCTACCCCTCAGGGCTGGTGACCCTCTTGCCCCTGCTGCGACCACCGCAGGAAGTGTGCTGGGTCCGACGGGCCTGGTGCTCAGCCTGGCCACCCACTCAGCTGGGTCTCTGTGCGGAGGGACCTCTGGCCCGGCCCCCAGGCCTGGACGGCTCTGCCACTGTCACGGACGAGTGGGCGCACGCAGCCCGGGCTGGGAGGGCTGTGGGCACACACTCCAGTCAGGGCGTGGGAGCGGAGCCCCCTGGCAGACTCATCCCCCACCTGGTGGGGGACAAGGCCCTGATGTGCGGGTGCCTGGGGCCTTCTCAGGGTTCTTCGCTCCGGGATTCCCAAAGCTGGCCCGTTTCCAGCGGCATCATGATGACATCGTGGAGAAGGAGCTCAAAGGCCTGAAGAAACACCTGGCGAGTAGACGCTCCCCGGAGGCCCTGTCCTCACGGCCCGGGGCAGGGGGAGGGGCCCGCAGAACCCTGCCCACGCTGCCCAGAGCCCGGTGTCCGGCTCCGTCTCCTGCTGGGCCCAGGGCGCCCTCGGGGCTGAGCGGGGCCTCGGGGAGTGTGTGCATGGGGCCGGGGCCAGGGAAGTGGTGGCCGCCGGCTGGGACCCGAGCACCTTGTGTCCTTCCGCCAGGACGAGCGAGGGATGAGCGCGGGGCTGTACACCACCAGGTGGTTTCTCCAATGTTTCATCGGCCGGGTAAGGCTCCCCTGGCAGACCTGGTCCCTGACCTGCTCCCGGCCCTGGGCCCAGGGGAAGCCTGAGCTCAGCCTCACACTCCAGACCAGCCAGGCCTGACCCCAAGGCCCTGAGCCTGAGGCTCGCTGTCCTGATGCGTCCTGGAGCCCCAAAGGGGGCCCCTTGAGGACATCCTGGGGGACCGGCACTGTCCATCTCTGCCTCCCCAGGGAAGGCCACATCAGCCTGGGAGCGGACGGGCCCTCGGCCCATTCTGCAGCCAGCCTGGAGTCCTGTTGGCGTGTGTGGGCACCGAGGGTGGGGCAGAGTCTGTGGCCCCCCAGGTCTGTGGGTTGTACTGGCCGGGCCCTTCCTGCCTAAGGTCGTCTGGAGCCCCTCTTGCCCAGGAGGAGGACCCCCACGGGACAGGTTGCAGAGCCCCGTCCGACGCAGCCACGGGGACGGCAGGGGCAGGGTGGAGGGGAGACCTTCGCACAGGCGCAGGACCCCTGGGCCCAACGGAGGCTGCTCCCCCACTCCCGCTCCCCCGCAGACCCCCTTCGCGCTCACCCTGAAGCTGTGGGACGCCTACATGCTGGACGGAGAGCGCGTCCTCACAGCTATGGCCTACACCGTCCTCAGGCTGCACCGCAGTAAGGGACCCCGTGGGAGCCCAGGGGTGTCTGATGCAGGTGTGGGGGGCCGGGGAGATGGCCCACTGCTCCCAGGAGTGAGGACACAGGGAGGGACACAGGCCGGCCGGTGGCTTGGGGGCCCCCCTGCAGAGGAGCAGCGGGCACGGGGCCTCTCCTGCGCGGCTCTGCCCGGGGTGCTCCTGGGAACGGCGGGACGCCCAACCGCTGTCCCCGGGCAGGATCCTGGGACGGTGGGGAGGCGCCCCTCTGCTCTGACTCACACCCATTGCCCAGAACGCCTCCTGAAGCTGCCCCTGGAAGGGCTGCAGGGCTTCCTTCAAGACACCCTGGCCCAGCCCTGGGCCCTGGAGGATGAGGCCGTCCTCAAACACCTTCGGGCCTCCATGGCCCATCTGCGACGGAGGAAGTGCGACCTGCCCCCGCCAGGTGGGCTCCGGTCCCCGTCCCCTCCCGCCTCGCCCTCCTGGGGCCGCTCCCAGTGGACCCAGTCCCCAGGGGCCTTCCTCTGTGTCTCTGTTCCTCTGCTCTTCTGCTGCAACCTCGGGGAACCCAGGCCCGGCCCGGGCATCGGGGTGCCCCCTGTGGGGGCGGGGCATCCGCGGCCTGGATCAGGTGTGAGGGGCAGGCCAGGGTGGACACCCAGGGAGGCGGGAGCACACCCCGGGGGCCCAGCCAGCTGGGCACAAGCAGCCTGCTGGAGACGCTAACCCAGTCTGCCTCTTTGCAGCCGGCCCGGAGGAGTTCCCCAAGATGCCCCTGGGCCAGGAGCAGGTGTCCCCAGCCCCGACGGCCCTCCTCCCTTCTCCTACCCTGGAGACGCTCTCTGGAGCGGACGGGCTGGCCTCCCCAGGCCCAGCCACACACCCTGAGCAGCCGGGACCCCTTCCCCGCCAGGCCGTGCTCAAGGCCGAGCAGCCGCTGCAGGAGGGAAGGTCGACGCAGCCCTTGGCGGCACCCCTGTGGCCAGAAGCCCCTGGGACCCTAGTTCTAGCACAACTGCCCCCAGCCCAGGACCCCTCGCTGGCCCGGCTACCCTGGCAGCGATGCAGTTCCCTCCCCAACCTGCCAGGACACCAGGGGGATGTGTGCAGGGGGCCTGTGGACATGGCCTTGAGGCCACAGCACTGGGTCCCTTTCCCTTTAACCCCTGCTGGGGCCACCCCTATGGCCACACCCCAGACAAAGCCCCAAAACGTCCCTGGGTCTCCTGGGACAGGGTCCCTCCAGCCCAGGAGGGAGGAGGCTGTAGGGCCCAGGACACCCTTCCTGCCCTAGGGCCTCTGCAGCTCCTGCCCCTGTGTGGGCTTCGACCAGCCCAGCCGAGACACGTGCGGGCCAGCGTTGAGCCCGCAGCCCCAGGGCCCCGAGCCTGCCCAGGCCCCTCTGATCTCCTCCTTGATGGGGAAAGTAGATGCCCCTCGGCCTCTGGAGAAGAGCGTGGGGGCTGAGAGGCTCTGGGCAGCCAGCACGGTGCCCTGCCTCCTCACTCTCGACTTCTTGGAAGATGGCACCCCCTCCAGGAGGTACCAAGTCACTGTCCTAGAGGGATCTTCTCTGGCCTGACCCCAGGCCCCCGGGAGCAGAGACAACACGAGCTCCCCCACGACCAGAAGGAAGACTGATGGGTCTCAGGCCCCGTGGCCTTGGGCAGTCCTGAGTTCTGACCCAAAGCTGCTCAAGTCCTTGAAGGACTCTCTGTGTCCACCTGGGGCCTGGGCATGCCCCACGGGTGCACGACTCCCACCTAGGTCAGCTCTGGGGACCACAGGTCAGCCCAGCCTGGGCGCATGGACAGGCAGGTGGGCCCTGCCCTCCCCTCCCCCACAGGAGGAGGCAGGGGCCACCAGAGCGCGGGTCTCCAGCGGTCACCTGGCAGCCATAGGGCAGTGGCCAAGGCCAGGCAGACGTGTTGGGACCCTGTCCGGGAACCCTGATGCTGCACCCCAGCTCAGGTCCGCATCCTCAGCACCTGCCTCTCAAGGAAACTTGGAAAACGTGCTGACACCCGCCGTCAGCACAGGTGCCAAGTGGGGGACACTAGCGTCCAGGCCTCCATGGGACTTCGGCCTTCCCCTGAAGGAGAAGCTGGTGTCCGTCCCCAGGGGAAGGCTCGCATCCTAGGTTCTGAGCCCCTGTTGACTGCTGACATTCAATAAAGTGTTGTTGTGGTCGAACACAAAGCCAGCCTGAGTTGTGGAGCCCAGACTCTCTGCGAGACGCGCCAGACACCCAGACAGAAGAGGGTGGCTCAGCCCAGGCCGCCTCCCCAGTCCCCGCAGGGCTCCCCGCAGAGGGGCCTCCAGGCAGACAAGGCTGAGGGACCCGGGGCCCTTCCCATCTCGGCCAGACGCCAGGGTCAAGACCATCCAATAATTTACTGCAACTCAGCCTGTGCCCAAAGGACCAGGACGGGGCTGGAAGGAGAGTGACAGCCGGGTGCGGGTGGCCTCAGGTCACCACAGTCTGTGCAAAGCGTCCTGGGAGGTGTGCGGACTCCGTGCAGGGAGCCTGAGCCGGCCGGGCGGCGCTTCCCTCCTTCCCTCCCCTGCTCTCCCTCCGACCGCAGCACCTCCTCCTGGCATCCGGCACCCACATGCCCCATGCCCGTGCTCCGTGCCCGTGCTCTGGGAGCACAGAGGGCCTGCAAGATGGTGGGGGGAGGGGGCGTCAGGACAGCAGACACTTGCAGCTCATGCAGCCGGGGCCCCCCTCGTCAGGCGGGCTCAGCTTCCGCACCTTGTGCTGCCGTATCTCGCGCACCAGCGTGTAGAAGGCGTCCTCCACGCCCTGGAAAGGAGAGGCCGGCTCAGAGTGGGACTCGGCCTGGGGCCTGGCAGGGGAGGGGACCGAGGGACCCCCGGCCTCAAGCTCATGTAGAATCCCTGCCCTTCCCCACCCTCTTCCCATTCCGACTCCCATGTGGCTGCTGGGCCCCGCTCATCCCGCAGCCCCAGGCCTGCCCCCACCAGGCAGCTCGCTCCTCAGGAGCCTCCCCCACAGGGCGGGCCCGGGTTCTGGCTCGCAGCTTGAACATCCCCGTGTCCCTTCCTTTCTGACCTACCAACCTTGTCCCCACCAGCCCATGAAGGGGGCAGGGCCAACAAGGGCCCACAGGGCACTCTGGGGGCCGAGGAGCCAGGGCCCCAGGGTCGCCGCTCCGGCCTGGCTCAGGGCAGCTCTCTCCAGGGACCTCCGCCTCTCCCTGGAGCTGGGTCAGCCCAGACCCTGGGCCCTGGCCTCCCTCGCTGCCCTGCCGTCCGGGGACACTTACAGCGCTAGGGGCCGCTGGGTCACGGGGGTCCCGGAGGGTCCCAGAGGGTCCCGGAGCTGGAGCCAGAGCCAGAGCGGCTGCCCTGTGTCGGGGGAGAGGGGGCAATGAGCACTGCTCCCTGGCGGGGGCGGGGCGGGGCGGGTCCCTGGCTCGAGGTGGGTCGGGGAGCCGGCTCACCTGGCGTGTCTTGGCCGAGGTCTCGATGTAGGGGATGCCGTAGCTGCGGGCGAGGTCCTGTGCCTGCCGGGACTCCACTGTGCGGGCAGCCAGGTCACACTTGTTCCCCACCAGCACCATGGGCACGTCATCGGAGTCCTTCACTCGCTTGATCTGCTCCCTACAAGGAAAAAAGTGGGAGCCAGTCGCTCAGCTGCTGGCACAGCTGCATCCAGAACCAGGACAGAGACGTGAGAAGAAACAAGGACAGGGAAGCCCCAAGGGCCGGCCAGCAGCTCACCTGTACTGGTGGATGTCCTCAAAGGACTTGGTGTTGTTGATGGCGAACACACACAGGAAGCCCTCCCCGGTGCGCATGTACTGATCCCGCATGGCGCTGTACTCCTCTTGGCCCGCCGTGTCCAGGATGTCCAGCAGGCACGTCTCCCCATCGATAACCACTTGCTTCCGGTAGGAGTCCTGCAGGAGGACAGGGCTTCAGGAACCCCCCCAACCTCTCCTAGTATGGGCCCATCCTGGGCACCTCTCCTGCCCCACCCCCAAGTCCCACAAGCGGGGGACGCCCTCCCGTCGAGCACACAGAAGACAAGCCCACCTCAGGAGTCAAGGCTGGGGACGGGAGCGCCGACACTCACCTCGATGGTGGGGTCATACTCATCCACGAAGTGGTTCTGGATCAGCTGGATGGTCAGGGCACTTTTTCCCACGCCTCCAGCGCCCACCACCACAAGCTTATATTCCGTCATCGCTCCTCAAGGGCTGAAGCACGGGGCACTGCGGTGGTCTCCCGTCCCGCCTGCTGAGGGAGCTACACTCAGCACAGGCCCAGCCCCACGGAGCAGGCCTGTGAGCTCCCCACGCTGCCGCCCCACCCTCTGGCCCCAGACAGCCAGGGAACGGGGCCCAGCCCCCTCCCACCTGCAGCCCCTCTAGCCCAGGGGTGGCAGAGGGCCCTCACTCCAGCTGCATTTATGGCTCTGAGAGAGCAGGGAGCTGGCCCCCAAAAGGCAGAGCTGACAGCTGAGAGCATCTCCCAAGCACGCACCCAAATTAGAAGTTGCTGGGTAGGCAGAAAGCCTGAACTGGAAGCCCTGCAGGCTGAGGTTACCGGTCCCCTCCCTGCAAGAACAGGTCGGGCCACAGCAGCGTGCCTGGGCAGGCCAGCGCCAGCCTTCGACCGGCTGAGGAACCCCCCACCCCCAGCATGTTGCTGCCTTTGACAAGCATTTACTGAGCGCCTACTGCATGCCAGCTGCTGTTCCAGGCGCAGGGTGACGGGCAGGGAAAGAAGCCCCCGGCCCCTTCTCCAAGGAAAAGGCCGGCACGCGTTAAAATAAGGGGAAACCCACGGTATCCTGCTGCCAATGAGCTCCGGAGAAAGGAAGACCGAGGAGGCGGCCGGGCGCGGGTTGGGGGGAGGAGGGCTCCCGGTAACGGACCCAGCGAGAGAAACAGGCCCAGCGGAGGCGCGGAGCAGGGGTGCAGGTGAGCAAGACTCAAGGCCTCTGGCTGGGGTGTCCCGATTTGTGAGGTTGAACGCGGGGTGCCCTTGCTCCTGTCCCTAGACAGTGGGCAGCGATTTCCTAACCCCTGACTCGCTGCCTGTGTACCGTGATGGCCGCCCAGTGCCCGAGCCCTTGGGAGCGCGCCGTGGACTCGAGGGGCGCCGCGGCGGACCTCGGCTCGGGGGGCCCCCCGCACGCTGCCCAAGAGCACGGCTGGCGCCCCGCGGAGGGCAGGGCCAGGGGCGCGGACGCACCGCGCCCCCGCCGCCTCCCGCAGCCCTCCCGCCCGCGGCTCACCTGCGCCCCCGCGCGCCCCGCCGCCGCCGCCGCCGTGCCTCCAACGCCCCGCGCCGCAGCCCGGGTCGGGGCCGCCGG